GGGGGGGACCAAGAGAAAGGGAGAGAAAGGAAATAGGGAGAGAGAAAGAGAGAAGAGAAAGGACCGAGCGGCCGATGGGGGTGTTCCTGGGTGTGGCACCCACTCTCTCCCTCAGTCCTTCACCTCTCTTCCACCCTGAGAGAGCCCGAGACAACTGCAACCCACCCAGAGCAGTCGCTAGCAGCCCTGCTCGGTCCACAAACAGCTGAGCACCTGCTGTGAGGCAGGCAGTGTTCCTGGCCCGCTGGAAGGAAGCAAACAGACAAACGCCCCTCCTTTTCCTCTGCTCTGGGGGCGAGGAGGACAGGGGAGCTGCGCTGCAGAGAAAATCAAGTGGGGGGTCGGCCGCCGGGGGTCGGCTTGCTGTTGCCAGTGGGGTCATCCCTGGGAAGGTGGGTCAGAGCAAAGAGGTGAGGGAGGTGAGGGGGTGAGTCCCTAGGCCCCTCACACCCTCTCAGGAGCCCTCTTCCTCTGGGCCCCAGAGCTCTGTCCGTTCCCTTTTGGAGTGCAGGAGGCCCTGCTCCTTTTGGTTCAGGCTATTTGCTGTCCAGGCTGTTAGAAGAGCGTGCCACACACTGGGGGGCTTATAAAGAACAAATGTTTTCTTTGCTGTGCCTTCCCTTACCTGGTGGACTCTGGGCTCTCTCTCTGTCTAAATGGGGTATAATTGACAGGCACATATTAGTTCTGGGTGCACAGCATAATGATTCGATATTTGTATGTATTGTGCATGCTCACCACAGTGAGTCTGCTTAACACCCATCACCTCACACACTTACCAATTGTTTTTCTTGTGATGAGACTTTTAAGATCTACTCTCTCAGCAACTTTTAAATATGCAATACAGTGATATTATATAAAAATGTGTGTATGGTCACCATGCCATAGTAACCCCCTAGGACATTTTTATAACTGGAAGCTTGTACCGTTTAACTACCATCCCTCATTTTGCACCCCCACCCCCAGCCCCCACTTCTGGCAACCCCCAGTCTATGAGTTCATTGGGTTTCATTTGTTTGGTTTTAGATTCCACACGAGTGGGGTCGTATGGTACTTGTCTTTCCCTGACTTATTTTTCTTAGCATAATGCCCTCGAGGTTCATCCATGTTGTCTCAAATGACAGGATTTCCTTCGTTTTTATGGTATAATATTCCTGTGTGTGTGTGTACACAATACCATGTTTTTATTCATCCATCCATCAATAGACACAGGATCCCTTTTATAAGGGCACTAATCCCATTCAGGAAGGCTGCACTCTCATGACCTAATCACCTCCCAAAGGCCCCACCTCCGAAAACCATCGCCTTGAGGATTAGGTTTCAACATAAAAATTTTGGACATTCAGCCTGTAGCACTCAGTTTCCTTAAACATTTATCCTTCTACCCCCCAAACCTCTGACTCCAGGATTGCGGCAGGACCCCAGGCTCTCCTGGCAGGGCGGCCCGGCCCTGGGGCGCTCGTTCCTGCATGGAGCACAGCTGGACAAGGGGCAGCTGCGTGTCCAGCGCGATGGCATCTACAGGCTGCACATCCAGGTGACACTAACCAACTGCTCCTCCTCAGCGAAGGACACTGTGCCCCGCAGGGCCATCCTGACTGTGGGCATCTGCTCCCCGGCCACCCACAGCATTAGCCTGCTGCGTCTCAACTTCGGCCTCAGTTGCACTGTCTCCTCCCAGCGCCTGACACCGTTGGCCCGCGGGGACACTCTCTGCACCAACCTCACTTTGCCGCTGCTGCCTTCTCAAAATTCTGATGAGACATTTTTTGGGGTTCAGTGGATTCACCCCTGACCTTTGCACGTCTTAAACCAGGTCTTTTGAGAGAGACCATTTTCTTTTTCCGTTGTTTTTTATAAAATTTGGTTTGTTTAACACACTATGAAGTAATTTACAGTAAAAGTATATATTTGGTTGCATGGCTCTTTCTTTCCTGAGCATTAACTCTACACTGTAAGGCCTCTTTCACTGTCATACAAATAGGCGGTGCCCCACCCTTCAGGGGACAAGCCCAGGCATGCTTGGGCTTTCTTTAGCGTGAGACGTCATCGGGACTCTCAGACTCGAAAGTAGGCTGAAAACGAACACATGAAACATGCACATAACCCCCCACATACACATGGCCCCCATGCACACAGACGCATATTTCTAAGACCCTGGGAGGGCCCCAGTCCTATCATGTTTGATGCTTGCCTAAGGTCAGTTTTTATTGGGTTTTGATAGAAAATTGGGGAGAGTTGTTTTGAACAAAAAGTTTATTGCAGGCAAACCAGAGTGGCAGATTCTCATTGACTGCAGGTGGCAGTCAGTGTTATTTTGTTTTAAATGAGCTATAAGAGAATGTCTTTCTTCCTGCTATGCAAATTGAAATACGTTGTATTTTCCCATTTGCCCCTTCATATCAAGAGCTTTCTCTGAAAACATCACTGATCAGTGTCTGGTTATTTATTTATTTATTTATTTATCAAGAGCTTTCTCTGAAAACATCACTGATCAGTGTCTGGTTATTTATCAACTGTTTTTCTTTGTTTTATTTTATATATATATATTTGGTCTGTCTGTGTCCCTCAGAGCCAGGAAGGACCTTTCCCGAGAATCATGTCCTACAGGGAGAGAGCAGGGAGTGACTGGAAACCATAGAGGCCACATTTGAGCAACCAGGAAGGTAGAAGGGGTTCTCAGGCATTTTCTAGTTCAAGTTCATATATTGTCTAGGTGTAAGCATTGGAAATCATCTTGAAGTACGGGGCTATCATTACTCTATATTTGTATCATGTCTTCAGAGACTCAAGAGGTAACAAGTACAAAATTTAAAAATGATTATGCAAAATAAAATTAAAAGCAATATGACAAATCCATTTTGTATGATGATTCCAAACTAAGACCTGAAGGTTGCCAGCTTAGCAAATCAAAGGACTATGGAGAGTCAGGTGAAATTTGTCATAACTGCCCACTGAAAAACAGGATCAACTAGGTATTGCATCTCCAGAAAGGATTCATTGGGGGTGGGGGGATTGCAATCTAGTGTGAGCAAAGACACATTGAGCTGCATGGGCATGCTGAACTGGACAAAGATGCAGAAGTACTTAGAGAAGGGAAAAGGGGTTCAGGCTACAACCCTGGAGCTCTGTTGTGGGCAGAGTTCTTCCTGCAGCTTCTCCCCAGGACAGAGGGGGAGAACTCCTCCCCTAAGCCCTGGCCCCTCCCACAGACCCTCCTGATTGAAGATGTCCAGCTTCAATTCTCTGTCATAATTTTTATCCTAACCAATTATTTTATTTAACTGTTTTCTAATTTTATGTAGCTGAGTTTCTACTTCCCAAGAGGACTTTATCCAAATGCAGCAGGTTGTGTTCGCAGACACCTCCCAGCTCAGCAAGCAAGTAATTAAGAGCTGTTCTGCTCCCTGAACGCCCTTTGGCTAAGGCGTCAAGTGCTCTTTGTTGGACAGCCATTGCACTGGCAGTGGGGTCAGCAGTGTCTCCTAATGTCAGAGGTTTCTGAGCATACGTTCATTGGCACAGGAGGGGGAAAGGCCTTTCGCAGAGAACAGGAGATAGGATCAGGTTTTTCCCGGGAGTTCTCTTTCAAGGCCACTAAGAAGGTTTAGTGGGGAGGGCCAATGGGAGGCCTCGGGTCTGTTAACGAGGTGCAAATAAAACATTAAATACAGAAAGAGCACATTGTCTTTTCATCCTTGAGTTGCCAAGACAATGAGTTGCCCAAGCATAGGAGCCATTGCCAAAGCTTTCACATATAAAAGAGTAGCCAGGAGGTGAGCATAGGACCCCCTTATAAGTATTAATATTTATGGCCCCATTGGCTGGTATAGAGGTGTTGACATCATTCAGCCAAGGCTCAAACACTCTACTTAAGTATTGAAAAACTACCCAGATACATGGGTCTAAAAGCAAACCTGCAAATCGTCTGGTTTATCATCTGGCTACTCATCCAGTACATATGAGATGAGTCTTGATTTCCCATTCCAGGGCTAGGTTAAATTGAGGCGAGGCATAGGGGTATGTGGATTTAGTTTTCTAGCCTTATAAGAGGAACCTGCAGAACAGTTTAGGCATGCAGTGGCATTGGAGACCCCAATGAAATTACGGGGCAGACTAAGGGGTCACTGCCGTCATGGACTGATGGAGGTTTTTGGTGGGCTCGATTAGCTCTGCGGGTACTGGCACCTGTTTGGTCAGCAGCCTTAGAGTGGTTGGGGGGGGGTCTTCTTTGGATTCCACTTCTGATCACCAAGTAATGTTAACCTTAAACTGAGCAAAGAGCAATTTTATTTAAGAAAACTATGTTTATTCAGGAATGGCAGAGGAGTTGCAATTCAGGACAAGCAGACTGTGGTGAACCATGGGCAAGTCCAAAGAGATAAAGGGAAGGTCAGTTTTTATTGGGTTTGGAGAGAAAATTGGGGAGGGTTGTTTAGAACAAAAAGTCACTGGCAAAGAACTAGAGTTG